ATTAAAACTCTCACCCTCTCTCTCTCTCTCTCTCACCCCAACTGGTCGAGACAGACAACCACCCACCTAGAGCCGGAGGATCTGTCCTAGGTTTCTGCCTTTTAACAGGCAGTTTTTCCTTGCCCTTGTCACCAAGGTCTTGCTCATGGTGGTACTGTTGGGTCTCTGTAAATAATGTTATAAAGAGTTCGGTCTAGACCTGCTCTATTTGAAAAGTGTCCTAGAGATAACTTCTGTTATGAATTGGCGCTATACAAATAAAATTGAATTGAATTAAAACAAAGCTGATGTATTTGCATGACAAGTGAATGGCTCTGCAATGCATTTAAAAAAAAACATGCCTGCATCACAGCTGTTCTTTTCATGTTTGTTGTCTTCTACAATCTTTTTGGTCTTGTCACTCTTTCAGGGGCATTTCTCTCTCCTTTTACAAGTGTCCTCTAGTGTTCGCTGCTTCAGGGCAGCCTTTGCCTGCGGTAGTGTTTCGCTGTCTGCATGAAAGCTTTGCAAGTACAAACAGCTGTGTTAAAGCTAATTTAAAACAGATCTGATTAAGGATCGGATTGGGCTCAATATAGTCGATACCAATCTCTGCGATTGCACCGGGCCATCCCTAATAGCAGTGCTTCCTAAGCTTTAACTCCCACAGCCTAGTCTGCTGAACTAAAGTACCCCTTTATCAACACCACCATTATGTCTGACATGTTCATTTGAATTCATTTCAAACTGGATGTTATTTCCACTTCCCTCCAGTCACAAAACAGATTTTCTTCCTGTCCCGACAGTCTGATGTTTGAATGGTGTCTGTGCAGAGTTTGACACTAGAAGGGTGTTTTCACATTCATCTGCTGAAAGTGAAAAGTTTCTCTGTGCTTACTGAAGTCCTGTTCCATGTCCAACTCCTAACTCAGTAGCGTTTACGTTTTTAAATTCATGATTTTCACATGATCAAATCAGTTCAGATTTTTTTATGCTTACTGAGACCTGGTTACATCCAGGAGACTGTATCGCATTAAGTGAAATATGTCCGGATGGTTTTAGTTATTTCCACTAGTGTCTCAATACACTATCATATGAAGCACATACTGTAGGTTCATGTCAGTGTACTTACATGATAGTGTTGGATGTATACTGTGCCTGTGTTACATGGACACTAGGACCAGTGTTCATTTTTTCACAGTTGTTTGGAAAACTCTCATAGTCTGGGAAGAAAAACAGAGAAACTGTGTTTCACCAACAGAGAAATTTTCACCACATCCTCCTCATATTTCACACTGCGATGGTGACAGGAAATATTGATGACTCACTGGTGTCATGAGTATCCAGACTCCCACTAGCTGCTGGTCTGCACACCTCTACTGTAATGTCTGCCTCTTCTTGTGAACTGGATGTCTGGAGGGAGATATATCACATGTTTACACTACAAGCATTGGGATTTTTTGTATTCAAATCGACATTTTGTTTTAATGGCTTGATAATTCCATCAAATAGAGACATTACTCTCCTCTAATAAACAGCCTCATCCTGCATTATAACAAACAAGAAGAAAACACTGAATTTGTTCAAAAAGAAGCCTGTGTGATTGTAACAATTGAAAACAAAAAAAAACATAATACAGACAAAGAATTGTATAAAAGTTCTTAAAATATCAGAAAACTCATCTTTGATGCAATATTCACAGGAAATAATCTGCTCAAAATTCATCCAAATAGCTTGTTTTACATAAATTCCATAAAATAAGTTACTTATGCAGGGGTGTCAGTTCACACAATTATAGACATGGGGTCCTTTAAGAAAAATTTGGGAACCACCTAAAGCCTAAAGCCTGTGTTCTTGAATTTATCAAATGATATAACATCATCATGATGAGAAAGTAATCCCATGTACCTGCTGCTTCTTCCTAGAGAGGATGTTGAGAAGGCTGTCGTCCAGAGCTGACCTGTACTGGCTCAGCTCCGCTGTGCTGTGATCAGCTCCCAATGAACGGCTCTCTTTCATGTAGCAACCTGAGGAAAGCAAAGGCAGCAGCCAGTCCTGCTCAGCTGGATAGTGACTCAGCCATAAAGACCGCTCTTCTTGGCTCAGCAGTTCCCAATCTCCACTCTGGAGCTGTGCCTCCAGGTTCTTTGCCCAATGATCCCCCCTGTGCGGTAAGAGACTGTACCACTTTGAATGTGGTCCAACAGCAGTACTTGCTCCAGAAAGATTTGTGGAGGACATGGAGAAGGAAGAGATGGAGGAGGCATGAGAGAGTGTATGGACACAGGGAGAAGCATCTCCGAGCCCGGTCACTGAGTCCAGTTCGTCCTCCACTGTGTCCAGGCTCCTTCTGGCCTGCTGCAACAACTCCTGGGACACTTTGAGGTTGACTGCAATGGTGCTGATCTGCTCATCCATTGTCACTTTGGACAGCTTCAGGCCATCCAGCTGCTCTAAGTCTAAGTCTAAGTGTGCCTCAGGATCAGGTTCTTCCTCAACACTCTCTGAGTTAAACTCACCAAGCAGAGGAAGCATGTCCGAGTAAGGGTACACGTGATGGACACATGGATTCTCCCTCCACACATTTATATCTTTGTCTCCTCTGCTTTGGCTTTGTTCCTTTGTACAGCTGTTTGTCCAGGTGGACCTGTCTTTCCTCTACTGTGTCTGTCTTGATTACGAGTGGCCTGACAGTTCTACCAACTGAAAGAGACAGAGGATTTTTTTTTAAAGAATTTTGTGCTGGAAGTATACACAGTCATTACACTTGCACACATTTCTAAACCGTAAGTTGAGTAGTTTCACAAGGCATTCATTGTTAGCTTTTCAGTACACATAGGAACCCTATATGTGTGTGTGTTGTGTTCAGTACCATTCTGTACTGGTTCCCCGACAGTGGTATGCTGTGTTGTAGACTGGACCCCAGGCTCCAGATCTTGTTCTGGGTAAGCACAAAGCTCACCACTCAGCTGTTTCTCCAGAGACAACCTCTGCAAAACACACAAAATACAAGTGTCACGCAAAGTTCTCTGGATCATAGTGCAGGATGTAAAATGTTCTGTGTCGTGCAAAATATAATCTTTCTTATCTGTTGCAGGCCTCGAATCCCATGTGCATTCTAGAAATTATTATTTGTATTGTTTGATACAGTGTGTAAAGAAATATTACAAGAATATTATCGACAAAATATTGCTAGACTAACTTCAGCTAGTGATTTTGAAATATGTGTCCTTTCTATTACACAATCACCAAAATCTCGAATTGCCAAGACCATTTTGATCCCCTCACCCCTACACATTACTAGTTACCACCAAAACTAGTAGAACTACAGTAACAATTTTATAATGCGTTACTCCCAACACTACCTTTGATCACCAAATTCTTATCAGTACATCCTTTAGTTTAAGTGGAAGTTTGTGCCAAATCTGAAGAAATTCCCTCACAGTGTTCCTGAGTTCACTCACAAGAATGGCACAGACGGATAACCCGAAAACATAATGCCTTGGTGATCGCCAGCACAGAAGCATATAATTGTGAACCTGCCCTTTAACTGTAACCTTTTTGGGGAAAACCTGGTCTGATTAGGAGAGACGGCATCCATCCCACTTTGGATGGAGCGGCTCTCTTATCTAGAAATATGGCGAAGTTTATCTCTAAAACCTGACAGTCCAGAGTTAGGACCAGGAAGCAGAGCTGCTGTCTTACACACTCCTCTGCGCTTTCTTTAGAACAGTCACCCACCCAAAACCCCATAGAGACTGTGTCTGTCCCCCCGACCACCTAAACTATTTAAAGAAATAAAAACAAGAGGAGTTCAACATAAAAATCTAATAAAAATTAAAACCAACTCCTCAGTAGCACAAAATAAGAGAATGAAATGTGGGCTGTTAAATATCAGGTCTCTGTCCTCTAAAGCTGTTCTAGTGAATGAATTAATATCAGATTATGATATTGATTTACTTTGTCTTACTGAGACCTGGTTGTCCCACGAGGAGTATGTTAGCCTAAATGAATCCACCCCCCCAGTCATATTAATACTCACATTCCTCGAGGCACAGGCCGAGGAGGTGGAGTAGCAGCTATATATGATTCGAGCGTTTTAATGGACCCTAAACCTAAACTAAATTATAATTCATTTGAAAGCCTTGTTCTTAGTCTTTCTCACCCAAACTGGAAAACACTGCAGCCAGTTCTATTTGTTATAGTGTACCGCGCTCCTGGACCGTACTCTGATTTTATATCTGAATTTTCAGAGTTTCTATCAAGCTTAGTCCTTAAATCAGATAAAGTAATTATTGTAGGTGATTTTAATATTCATGTGGATGTTGACAATGACAGCCTTAGTAATGCATTTATATCATTAATAGACTCAATTGGCTTCTGTCAGAGTGTAAATAAACCAACTCATTGTTTTAATCACACTCTTGACCTTGTTTTATCATATGGCATTGATATTGAACATTTAATAGTGTTCCCACATAATCCTTTCCTATCTGACCATTATTTAATAACTTTTGAATTCATACTATTAGATTATAAGCCATTAGGCAAAACTTCCTACAGCAGATGTCTATCTGACAGTGCTGTAGCTAAATTTAAGGAGGAGATTCCTTCAGTGTTTAATTCAATGCCATGTCTGAATTTAACAGAGTCCTATAACAACTTTAGTCCCTCTGAAATTGATAATCTTGTCGATAGTGCTACAGGCTCACTACGATCAACATTAGACTCTATCGCTCCTATAAAAGGAAATTATTAAAACATAGGAGACTAGCACCTTGGTATAACCACCAAACCCGCCAGTTAAAGCAAATAGCTAGGAAATCTGAAAGGAAATGGCGCTCTTCCAAATTATCAGAATATCGCTCAAATTGGCAAGATGATCTTAAGATTTATAGAAAGGCCCTCCGTAATGCCAGAGGAGCCTATTATTCAGCACTAATAGAAGAAAATAAGAACAACCCTAGGTTCCTCTTCAGCACTAGCCAGGCTGACAGAGAGTCACAGCTCTATTGAGCCACATATCCCCATAAACTTAAGTAGCAATGACTTCATGAGCTTCTTTTATAATAAAATTATTACTATTAGAGAAAAAATTAATCACCAACTGCCATCAACAGTTATCAGTGGCTCTCCAAGTTCAGGGACTTCTGTCAATGTAAACTTAGATGTATATTTAGACTGTTTTTCTGCTATCGATCTTCATCAGTTAACTTCAATCATTTCTTCATCGAAGCCATCAACCTGTCTGTTAGACCCGATCCCAACTAGGCTGCTTAAAGAAGTTGTTCCCTTAATTGGCACTTCTTTACTGGATATGATTAATCTTTCTTTATTATCAGGATATGTACCACAGTCCTTTAAAGTAGCTGTAATTAAACCCCTTCTTAAAAGTCTACTCTTGACCCAGGGGTTTTAGCCAACCATAGACCGATTTCTAACCTCCCGTTCCTCTCTAAGATTCTGGAGAAAGTAGTCGCCAAGAGTTGTGTGACTTTCTACATAACAATAGTTTATTTGAGGATTTTCAGTCAGGATTTAGAGTTCATCATAGCACAGAGACAGCTCTGGTTAAAGTTAATAATGACCTTCTGACTGCTTCTGACAATGGACTTGTCTCTGTACTTGTATTATTAGATCTTAGTGCTGCATTTGACACCATTGACCATGATATTCTTTTACAGAGACTTGAGCATCAAATTGGCATTAAAGGAACTGCCCTAACCTGGTTTAAGTCATACTTATCAGATCGTTCTCAGTTTGTACATGTTAACGATGAATCCTCCATAAATACTAAAGTTAGTCATGGAGTTCCACAAGGTTCTGTACTTGGACCAATACTATTTACTTTATATATGCTCCCTTTAGGGCAACATTATTAGGAATCACTCCATTAACTTTCACTGTTATGCAGACGATACGCAGTTATATCTATCAATCAAACCCAATGAAATTAATCAATTATCTAAATTACAAACATGTCTTAAGGACATAAAATCCTGGATGACCTGCAATTTTCTGATGTTAAACTCAGAAAAAACCGAAATTCTTGTTCTTGGCCCCAAAAACCTTAGAGACTCATTGTCTAAAGATATAGTCACTCTAGATGGCATTAACTTGGCCTCTAGCACCACTGTCAGGAATCTTGGAGTTATCTTTGATCAGGATTTGTCATTTAACTCCCCACATAAAGCAGACCTCTAGGACTGCCTTCTTTCATTACGTAATATTAGAAAAATTAGACACATACTATCACAGACAGATGCAGAAAAACTAATCCATGCATTTGTTACTTCAAGGCTGGATTACTGCAACTCTTTATTATCAGGTTGCCCCAATAAGTCCATTAAAAACGCTCCAATTAATTCAGAACGCTGCAGCACGAGTACTGACAGGAACTAGAAAAAGAGATCACATCTCTCCTGTACTAGCTACTCTGCATTGGCTCCCTATAAAATGTAGAATTGAATTTAAAATACTCCTCCTCACCTATAAAGCTCTTCATGGTCAGGCCCCTTCATATCTTAAAGAGCTCATAGTACCCTATTACCCCACTAGAACACTACGTTCTCTGAATGCTGGGCTACTTGTGGTTCCTATAGTCTCTAAAAGTAGAACAGGAGCCAGAGCCTTCAGTTACCAAGCTCCTCTCCTGTGGAACCAGCTTCCAGTTGTGGTTCGGGAGGCAGACACCCTCACCACTTTCAAGAGTAGGCTTAAGACATTCCTCTTTGATAAAGCTTATAGTTAGGGCTGGATCAGGTGAGTCCTGAACCATCCCTTAGTTATGCTGCTATAGGCCTAGACTATCGGGGATTTCCCATGGTGCACTGAGCTACTCTCTTCCTCTCTCTTTCTGCACTCATTCATGTCCCTTTAATGCATGTTACTAACTCCACTTCTTCCCCGGAGTTCTTGTGCTTTCTCGTCTCGCAGGTTCTCATGGATCCTGGTGGAGCCTCCTGCCATGGTCCTGCTTGACTGCCATTGCCAATACTGTTGTTGCTGTGCACCTGTCTGTCTGTCTGTCGCTCTCTCTCTCTCTCTCTCTCTCTCTCTCTCTCTCACCCCAACTGGTCGAGACAGACGACCACCCACCTAGAGCCGGAGGATCTGTCCTAGGTTTCTGCCTTTTAACAGGCAGTTTTCCCCTTGCCCTTGTCGCCAAGTGCTTGCTCATGGTGGTACTGTTGGGTCTCTGTAATTAATGTTAAAGAGTTCGGTCTAGACCTGCTCTATTTGAAAAGTGTCCTGAGATAACTTCTGTTATGAATTGGCGCTATACAAATAAAATTGAATTGAATTGAATT